CTAGGGGCAGACGCCGCACCGACCGACTCAAGACCAACGAGGTCGGCCGTAGCGGCAGAGGCAACAGAGGGCAGGAGAGGGGAAGGAGAACACCCTCCAAAGATGGGGGCGCGGGGGTCACCTCGAGAGGCTCCTACAGCAACTATGCTCTTCTCTGCTGCAAGAAGGGCATTCTCGAGGCTGTCGACGGTGACGGTGGTGGGACAGACCGCAAGGAAGTGGTCCCGGACTACACGAAGGGAGTCACGGAGGCGAGTGACTAGGAAGTAGAGAGTGATGTACATGGGGGGGGGGTTCTTGGCGCAGAAGTCAGCAGGAAGTGCAGCGCGGTAGCGAGTGTCACTAGTGCGGAGGTGCGTGATGAGATCAGCGACAGTGGGAAAGGCGGCAAGGTCAGGGAAGAGGAAGGGGAGCATGAGGCGGCTCAGTGCAGCAGTGGCAGGGGAGGAGTAGCGTGCAACTACAGCGTCGTACAAGGTCTGAGCACTCTTGTACTGGCTAAAGTGCGCGCGCTCAGTGGTAGGCAGGTGGCGACGCACAGCAAGACGTGCAGCAGCATCGCGCGTGGCCCACTGAGAGCGAACAGTGGCGTCAGCATCAGCAGCAGGGGCAGGGACAGCGCCAGAGGTGAGGTCAAAGAGAGACAGACTGTCGGCCCTGTCGCACTGTAAAAACAGCTGCAGGTCGTCGAGCCAGACCTCAAAGTCAATGGCTCGACCCTCAGCGTCAAAAGTGAGGACAGTGGGTGTAGCCATGACGACGACAGTGGCGCAGTGCAAGCAGTAGGGGAAGGGTACGCAGTGACAGCGGTGCAGTGCTCACCGGGCAGGGCAGGTCGGGCGGCTCAGGAGGAAGGTCGCCAGACGACACGGCCGCTAGGCTGCTGGGCGGCTCGGCTCCCGGGCGGCTCGGCTGCTGCTGGGCGGCTCGGCTGCTGTTGGGCGGCTCGGCTGCTGCTGGGCGGCTCGGCTGCTCCTGGGCGGCTCGGCTGCTCCTGAGCGGCTCGGCTGCTGCTGGGCGGCTCGGCTGCTGCTGGGCGGCTCGGCTGCTGCTGGGCGGCTCGGCTGCTGTTGGGCGGCTCGGCGGCTCGTCTGCTGCTGGGCGGCTCGGCTGCCGCTGGGCCGCGTAGGTAGGGCGGCGGGTGGGCCGCAGGTAGGGCGGCGGGTGGGCCGCAGGTAGGGCGGCGGGTGGGCCGCAGGTAAGGCGGCGGGTGGGCCGCAGGTAGGGCGGCGGGACGGCCGCAGGTAGGGCGGCGGACGGCCGCAGGTAGGGCGGCGGGTAGGCCGCAGGTAGGGCGGCGGGACGGCCGCAGGTAGGGCGGCGGGACGGCCGCAGGTAGGGCGGCGGGTAGGTCGCAGGTAGGGCGACGGGACGGCCGCAGGTAGGGCGGCAGGTAGGCCGCAGGTAGGGCGGCGAGTGGGCCGCAGGTAGGGCGGCGGGACGGCCGCAGGCAGGGCGGCGGACGGCCGCAGGCAGGGCGGCGGGACGGCCGCAGGTAGGGAAGCGGCGGGGCCGCGTCGAGGAGGCGGCGGGGCCGCGTCGAGGAGGCGGCGGGGCCGCGTCGAGAAGGCGGCGGGGCCGCGTCGAGGAGGCGGCGGGGCCGCGTCGAGGAGGCGGCGGGGCCGCGTCGAGGAGGCGGCAGGGCTGCGTCGAGGAGGCGGCGGGGCCGCGAGGGGAAGGGCGACACGGAGGGTCGCGAGAAAAAAAGAACGCGCGCCTCGGGGCGCACTTCGGTGGGCCCTAGAGAACAGTCCCTAGGATGGGACCTGCTCTGATTCCATGTGGAAATAGAAACGTGAAATGAGTTGACTACGAACGAAGTGAGTACAAATAGGAAACCCTAATTGGGTTGTACCCCCTATGGGATACCCCACTATAGCCTACACAAACAAGTAAGCTACAATGTTCTGACAAAGACCCCACAATATCCATGACTCCGAATCCTGACAACCTGGTGCCACACGTGCAACAGTTCGCTGAAATTTTACAAGAAGCACAGACTCGAGCAGCAGACGCAATAAAAAAAATCGAACATCATCGCTAAGCGCAACGCCGGCCGCCACCGCCGACCTGTCAATTACCAGCCCGACGACCTCGTACTACTCAACACTCATAACTTCCGCCTGCCCATCACCCCAAAACTCCGCCCCCGATATTGCGGGCCATTTCGCATCAGCCCCATGATCACACCCGTCACCGCCCACCTCCTCCTCCCGGCTGCCTGGTACGTCAGCCCATCCTTCCACGTCAGCTTGCTTCGACCTTATGTACCATCCACCAGCCAACTACCCCGCAACCGCCCAGCCAGCATGACCCGACCACCGACAGGGCCAATCATCACGCCTAATAAAATCTTGAGCCACCGTGTTCGTGACCCATGAGGAGCTCGCAGGATCGAATTTCTAAACTGTTGGAAAGACCGCATGCACACCGAAGACAACTGGGTTCACTTGGACAGAATTGAAAACCACCCAGTCCTCACCGAGTATCTGCGCAGCTGAAATTTCCGGGATGTACGCGCGCTTTCATAAGGAGGGCCTCCTTACGGGGGGGAGGTTAGTCTAAGGAAAATTCATTTTCCTTACTTCGCGCCCCTGTTTAGCGCATACACCACTGTTCCCACCAACAGCACCCAACAATAAACCGTTACCACTCGCGGGATTCGCTTCGATACTGTTCCCGCCACTGTTCACGACGCGACCCAAACTCACGGCTCGGTTGGTAACCCGCGCTCCGGACCTCCGCCTCGACAATTCCCAACCTCGGCGCTAGGCCCGTCGCGCCCCCCATTTGCAGACATTACCGTTACAATTGTAGTTTCGGTATAAATTCATCGCTCATGCCTTCGCTCATTGAACTCTTGCTTCAATAGTGCAATTCTCACTCGCTCACTCAATTGCACTCGTAACATGCATCAAGTGACGAGTTGGAGGTTATGCCCTTATGCTTATGATTGCGGCTGATTTGTGAAAACAAGCACCCATAATAAGGGGCTATGAGGTGGATATGGTTGATAAAAGGAGGAGATTAGCTTTGGAGTTTCTCCATATACTGTAGTGGATTTGACATGCATGACAACACTTGCAGCAGAACTTGAGGTTGGTGTTCCGATGGTGTGAAGGCTGCTTTACTGTAGCTAAAATGACACGGCAAAACCAGGATTCGCTCTCACCCATTGGCCAAATATCGCGCCGCGCCAGCTCTTTTAGCCACTTCTATTCGCTACCCTTCCAAACCACGAGGTATGACTGGCTGGCCTTGTGGTCCCCCCATTGCCACCTGGCTTTGATTTTGGGAAAGGCAGGGGTGGTGCTGTAGAATGTTGCTCACGCAAAACGTCGATGCGCCAGGCTGGTTTATCCTACTTGCTTCGAAATGAAGCAGCAGTTATCGGGGATGGCTTGTTCCTGCTTCTTCTCGCTCTTCGAAAAGCCAACTTGTATGGCTGATGAGGCGTTCTTTCGGTTAGGGTTTGAGTAATGTGATGCTGCTGCTGCTGTTCACTTCGAGAACTGCGATGCGATTGATTGGTCAGCTTAACTTCCACCACTAGTTTATATCTCTCGTGCGAACGTCACTCGAGAGCTTCATCTGCTTTTTGCTGACGCCTGTGTAGTTCGTTTCTTCCCTCTCCCTCGTCCCCTCCGCTGCAGAAGCGGCGTGTTCGAACCGAACCTATTTCCGACCACAGAGCGACAGATCACCTCAACCTACCCCCACCTCACCTCCCATTGACCAAAACTCATCCGCGTTCCGTGCCTAGCGTGTGGTTGTCTAGCTGAGCTCGCGCCTCGATCTAGTTATCAATCAGAACCACCGTTATCCTCGCTATGGACTTTTTCGGCGCGACAATTCGGCATCCATTAGCACCTCCTATTGCCGGCCAGTCCCTTCCCCAAACCACCACTCTCCCGCGTCCCGATGCCTTTCCTCTGACACCTCAATCATGGCTCGAGCAGCCGCTACAACAGCAGCAGCAGCAACAGCTGCAGTCGCAGCTTCAGGAGCAGGCGCTGCTGTCGCAATTAGGTCACGACCAGGCGATGCAATTAGGTCAGCTAGCGCAGCTCCACCAGATCCAATCGCGAGCCTTAGCAGCCTCGTCCGCGTTAGCCTCTTCCGCGCCGCAGAATTTCCTCCGCGAATTGCAGATGCAGCGCCACATAGATGAGGAATCCCGCCTTCTGGCACTTCAGCAGCAGCAGCAGCAGCAGCATCAGCAACAGCATAACATGGCTCTCTTGCAGATGCTCATGGAACGACAGCAGCAGCAGCAACAGCAAGCCGCGGCGTCTCAACTTCAGGATTCGCTGTTTCAGCAGCACCAGCAGCAGCAGCAGCAACAACAGCAGCTGGAGTTGCTACGTCATTCCCAGCACCCGTTAGCAACAGCAGCTCCCGCCTCTCCTGCGTTAGGAGCAGCAGCTTCAGCAGCGGTGCAACTCGGTCAGGAGGCGAGCAACAGCGGGTTACTAGCAGCGGCAGTGGCCGCCGCTGCAGCCACTGCTGCGGCAGACGGCATGTGGCAGGGTCGGCAGGGTGGGCATCAGCAGCAGCGATCAGCGTCGCCGTTGCAGCGTCTGAAGCAGGAGAGGCACCCGGCGGAGGCGAATCAGCGGCAGCAGCAGTCGCAGCTGATGCAGCGTCGTCAGAATTCGCAAGACAAGCCGCAGCACTCGCAGCGGCAGCCAGCGCAGCAATTTGAAAATTCGCAGCAGCAGCAGCAGCAGCAGCAGCTAGCGGCGGCCTCCCTTCCAGAAGCCAGCGCTTCAGTCCCCTTGAACCATGTGGACGTCTTGTCACCTTCCGCAGGACCGGCAGCAACAGGAGCATCAGCTTCAGCTACAGCCACAGCAGCAGCTACAGCCATAGTAGGAGCAGCAGGAGCAAGTGGGCCAGGGGCAGCAGCAGGGGATGCGGATATTTTGGAGATTTCCGCCTTTTCCGCGCAGCCTAGCGGCGACCTGTTCATCACCGGCGGACCTAGCAGCTCCGCGCTCATGGTCCCCGCGGGTTCCGCGCTCGTGTGCCCCGACTCCCCGAACTTCGTGTCGCTGCTATCCATGTTCTCCTCGCCCCACCCGCTCAGCTGCGCGGGCTCGCTCGCGGATGGGCAGGAGGGGGAAGAGCAGCAGGAGGATTCCAAGGCGGGGGTGCTGGTCAGGGGCGGGGGGGGCGGATGGGGAGGGGGAAGGGGAGGCGGAAGGGGCGCGGGCGGTAGAGGGGGTGCGGGGCAGCTGATGTGCGCTCCGCCGAGGAATATGCTGCAGGTGGCGGGGGGCGCGCGCGCGGAGAGGGTTCCGGGGCTGCGGGGGCGGATAGAGAAGGCGTTGAGAAGCCTCTGCCAGGTGTGTGCGCATTGGGGGGAGTCGAGCTGGTGGTTTGGAAGAAAGCATGCGGGGGGAAGGTAATGGGCGGGAGATGGTGCCTTTGGGGAGTGAAGGGGAGTGCCACGCACTCTGTGACTCCCCTTTCTCACGAGAAGTTTCTGACCGTCCCATATTCCCTCTCGTGAGAAAGGGGAGTTACAGACTCCTCTTCAAATGCCTCGGTCGCGAGGCGACCTGCTGGCGCAGGTGTGGTGTGGTTCCCCACGTAAGGCTCTCCATTTTTCCCCTCTTAGTAGAAACGCCCTTCCGCTCTCCCCCCTCCCCTTTTCTCCCCCACCCAAACACCGCAGTCGCGAGGCGATCTGCTGGCGCAGGTGTGGTTCCCCACGTGGCACGAGGGGCAGCGCGTGCTGAGCACGCGCGAGCAGCCGTTTGTGCTCATGGAGGGCAGTGAGAAGCTGCGCGTCTACCGCACCATCTCCACCAAGTGAGCACAGGGGGAGGGGATGAGGGTGGTGGTGGTGGTGGGGGGTTGGCGTGGGGGCATGTCAGATGCCTTTGAGGATGGCGAGCAGCCGTTTGTGCTGATGGAGGGCAGCGAGAAGCTGGCGTCTACCGCACCATCTCCACCAAGTGAGCTGCAAAGGGGGGATGGGGGAATGGATAGAGCTCCTTTTCCTCTGTTTGGTGGTGTGGGGCTGAGAGGAGCGGATGCCTTTCGAGATGCCTTTGAGAAGAGAAGCTTCGCATGTACATCTACCGCACGCACCATCTCCACCAGCGGGTGAGTGCTCGGTTCGGGTCCTCCTTACCATCTTACAGTCTCACACGCCTCCCTTCCTTCCTTCTTTCCCTCCCGTCTCCTCCCTTCCCCTCCATCCCGCCCCCCACCCCCTCCCCCCCAGCTATACATTCCCCTTGTCCAGTGGGGGAATACCAAAGCCTACCAGGCCATATATTTGTATCTGGCCGCCCAACGTGCAGACCACTCGTGGGACGAGTACCTCCGAATGGCACACGCCTGACCCCCTGTCCCCCGCCCCCTGCTCCCCTCCAACCCCCCCCCCCCCCCCCCTGCTCTCCGAACCTCCAATATCCTCCCCAGCTACGCTTTCCCATTGTCCGGCAGCGGGTACCTAGGCCTACCAGGGCGAGTGTTCATGTCCGGTCGCCCCGAGCGGACGCCCAATGTGCAGTACTACTCGCGGGACGAGTCCCTCCGATCGGCGCACACCACCCCTGACTCCCTGCCTCACCTGAACGTCCCCCGCCCGCCGCCCTCCCCTTTGCTCCCCACCCCCCAGCTACACATTTCCCCTCTCTGGAAGTGGGTACCTGGGTCTACCAGGCCGTGTGTTTGTGTCGGGTCGCCCCGAGTGGACGCCCAACGTGCAGTACTACTCGCGGGACGAGTACCTCCGCGTGGCCCACGCCACTCGCTGCAACGTGCGCGGGGCTCTGGCTGTGCCCATTTTCCGCGTGCTGGGGAATGAGGGGAAGGGGAAGAGGAAGGGGAAGGGGAAGGGGGAAGCGGGGGAGGGGGGTGGGGAGAGCTGGGGGACGGGCAGCAGTGGGAGTAGCAAAGGCGGGTGGGAGTGGGAGGCGGGAGAGGGGCGGGAGGGGGAAGGGGAGGGGGATGAAGGGGAGAGCGGGGGGAAGGTGATGGTGGTGAAAGGGGAGGGGAGATGGGGCGGGGGAAGCGGAGGGGTGAAGGGGAGGAGGAGGCAGGAGCTGGTGGCGGTGGTGGAGCTGGTGATGATGGGGGAGGACGTGCGCTTCGGGCCTCAGATCGATGCCGTGTGCAACGCACTGCAGGTGAGAGGGCGATGCAGGGGTGCATATGGTTTGGTTTGGGGGTGCAGTCTGCTCTGCTGCAGGGAGGTGCATATGGTCTCTGGGGGAGGAGGAGGCAGGAGCTGGTGGCGGTGGTGGAGCTGGTGATGATGGGCGAGGACGTGCGCTTCGGGCCTCAGATCGATGCCGTGTGCAACGCACTGCATGTGAGGCTGAGGTTGAGTGCGGTGCAGAGGCGTGCAAATGGTGTGGGGGGAAATTCTCTGGTCTTGAAAGCAGGGAGCGGTGGTGGAGCTGGTGATGATGGCGAGGACGTGCGGTTTGACCTGCAGATCAATGCCGTGTGCAACGCACTGCAGGTGAGAGATAGAGGCCAGTGCAGTTCAGAGGGGTGCACGTGGTCTGGATACAGGTGCAATGCGGTGCAGAGCGGTGCAAGTGTGGTCTTTGGGAGGGGGGAATCGACTTGAAAGCAGGGAGCGATGGTGGAGCTGGTGATGATGGGCGAGGACGTGCGGATTGACCTGCAGATCGATGCCGTGTGCAATGCGTTGCAGAGCAGGGTGCAGTGTGGTGCAGAGGGGTGTATGTTGTTTGTGTCTAGGGTACAGTGCAGTGCAGAGGAGTGCATGTGGTGGTTGGGGGGGGATGTGTTAAGGGCGCAGATTGATGCCCTGTGCAACGCGCTGCAGGTGAGAGACAGGGGTGCAGTGCGGTGCAGAGGGGTCGATGGGGATGGGGGGTGTTGCAGAGGTGTGTTATGGCACAGCCCTCAATCCATTCCAGTTCCATTCGCCATTGCAGTGGGCACACATTTTATGCCCCTGTACCTCGGAAATCCTCATGCCACTGCCAAACAGTGCATTACATCCCACCCCACCCACTCTTCAGACGGTGGACTTGACCAGCATTCGTGCATGGGACCACCTTCCAGCAGAGGTGAGCCTATGTTTCTGATGGCATTGGAGCGTCTTGTGTTTCTGACTGCGAATCTGCATCTCATGTTATTGACTGCATTTCATGCTTGTGACTGCAAACACAACCCGCTACCCATGTCTTACTCTTTGCTTTCTCTTTCCTCTCCCGCACCGGCCGTCTCTCGCTCTCAGATGCCCTTCCCTGGCTGGGGAGCAGTACTTACCGAGATACACGAGGTGCTCTGCTCTCCTCGCTCTGTGTCAACCACTTGCTCCAAGCCATGTCTTACTCTTTCCGTTGCCCTCTTTTCCTCTCCCGCACCCGCCTCCCCTCCCGCTCAGATGCCCTTCCCTGGCCGGGGGGCAGTGCGAACAGAGATACATGACGTGCTCTCCTTGCTCTGCGACAAGACAAGCACTCGCTGCCCTGCTCCCAGCATGTGTCCCACATTCTCCATCCCTCCTCTCCCCCGCCCGCCTCCCCTCCTTCCCAGATGCCCTTTCCTGGCCGGGGTGCAGTGCTCACAGAGATACACGAGGTGCTCTCCTCACTCTGTGACAAGCACTCGCTCCCCCTCGCCCAGACCTGGATCCCCTCCTCCTGGGTGCGCCTCACCGAACCTCCTGCCGCACCTGCCGCCAAACCTGCGGCTCGGGGGTGCGCGGGGCCGGTAGGGGCGAGCATGCGGAGCAGTGTGGGGGCGGGGTGGAGCATGCGACGAGAGGGGGCGGGGCGGGGAAAGGGGGCAGTTGACGTGGGGAGCTTACAGGAAGACGTGTTTGAAGTGTTTCATGTTGGCAGAGAGGGTAGAGGAGGAGAAGGATTGGGAAGAGGGGGGGAAGGAGCGGGGAGAGGAGGGGTAGGAGACGGGGAGGAGGAGCAGGGAGGGGAGCAGCAGGGACGGGAGGAGCAGGGAGGGGAGGAGGAGCAAGGGGAGGAGGAGGATGCAGTAACACTCTTCACAGCGGACATGCCGAGCTGCGTGGCGGATCTGCGCATGTGGGGGTTCCGCCAGGCGTGCTGCGAGCACCAGCTGCAGGCCGCCCAGGGCTGCCCCGGCCGCGCCATGACCTCCAACGCCCCCGCCTTTTGTGACGACCTGCAGCTTCTCACCAAGGAGCAGTACCCTCTAGTGCACTACGCGCGCATGTTTGGGCTCCGGGCGGCTGTTGCCATCCGGCTAAGATCTGTTTTGTCTAAAGATATGGACTATGTTTTGGAGTTTTTCCTGCCGCCGGGGTGCAGGGAGAAGGAGGAGCAGCAGCGGTTGCTGACGCAGCTGTCGCAGAGCATGCAGGAGGCGTGCCGGAGCCTCAGGACGGTTACTGTGGAGGAGATGAGGAGGAGTAGGTCCGGGAGTAGGTCCGGGAAGAGTGGGGGTAGTCGAGGCACAAGGTCAGGCTCGGGGACAGGAGGGGCGGAGGCGGGAGGATCGGTGGCTGGTGGGTCCGTGATGGGAGGTGGCGGGGTGGAGACGAGGGAGGGGCCGTGGGGGGGAGGGAAGGGAAAGGGGTTGGTGGGGGAAGGTGTGTCGGAGGGAGTGAGTGTGTTGAGGGGTGTGGGGGGGAAGGGGGCGAGGGAGGCGGCCGAAACTCCAGAGAAAAGAGGTAGGGAGGTGAAGAGGAGGCGAGTGGAGGGACAAGGGGAGGGGGAAGGTGTGAGGGTGTGTGAGGGCGCGGGTGTTGGTATGAGGGAGACTGGAGTGGGGGATAATGGTGTGGGCGAGAGCAGTCCCTTTGAAGCCGCAGCAATGGCAGAGCTCTGTGAAGGTTCGGCAGTCACGCCATTGGCTCACGGTGTGCCACCTGGCACTGGCACAGCTGACGTGGCGTTTCCACTGGGGAACAGTTCTGCTGCGGGGCTTGGGGTGAATGGATTAGGGTGTGGGGAGGAGGGGGACCATGGGGGCGTGGGGAATGGTGCGGGCATGAGCAATGGTGGGGAAGTGGGGAATGGTGATGGGAATACGGGTAATGGTGGTGGCGGTATTGGGAATGCTTGGGCGGAAGGTGTTTTTTCCGAGCAGCAGCAGCAGCAGCAGCAGCAGCAGGGGGAGATGGGAGCAGCCCCAATTACACTTACGGGTATGGGAACGGGCATGGGAACGTGCATGGGAACGGGCATGGGAACGGGCATGGGAACGGGCATGGGAACGGGCATGGGAACGGGCATGGGAACGGGCATGGGAACGGGCATGGGAACGGGCATGGGAACGGGCATGGGAACAGGCATGGGAACAGGCATGGGAACAGGCATGGGAACAGGCATGGGAACAGGCATGGGTGGTGGCGGCAGCCTCAACATCAACGCAGGTGGGATGGGCACAAGCATGGGCATGCAGGCCATGCCACCTCTACCTGAAGACGCTTTCTCAGGTGAAAGCTCAGGTCCTACACCCATGGTCTCTGCAGCTGCCGGCCCTGCCGCCCCTGCCGACCCTGTGTTGGGCAGCAGCGAGGCGGCAGCTGCACCTGCTGGCCAATCAGGTGCCCCTGCCACGTCAGACAGGAGTGGTGACAGCCTGGATGAAGGGGGAGGGGCGCTGGAGGGGACTCCAGACGGGGCAAGCTCGGGGCAGCCTTCAGGAGGGGCGGAAGGGGGGGCGGAAGGGGGAAGGCAGGGGGGTACGCGTGTAGAGGAGGATGTGACAGGGGGAGGGGGAGGGGGGGAGGAGAGGGCGGGAGGGGCGGAGGGGGGGCCGAAAGGGGGGGTGAAGAAGGGGGAGAAGCGGAGGGGGGGGACGAATGAGAAGAGCATCAGTCTGGGCGTGCTGCAGCAGTACTTCGCAGGCAGCCTCAAGGACGCCGCTAAGGCACTGGGAGGTGAGATTTGGGGTGTGCAGTGTGTGCCTTGTGGGGATGGTGAGTGAGTCGAGAAGAGCATGAGTCTGGGCGTGCTGCGGCAGTACTTTGCGGGGAGCCTAAAGGACGCCGCTAAGGCACTGGGAGGTGAGTTGCATTGTGGGGTTCGTGGTGTGAGTGGTGGTGGTGGTGTGCGCTGTTGTTGGGAGGTGAGCATTGGGGTGCGCAGCATGTGCCTTTGTCGTGGGAATGATTTCAAATGATTTCACGTGGGCCTATGGGGTGCTTCAAATGATTTGCCAGGCCCTGAAGACGGGTTTGCACAGCCCTCTGACTGTCTCGTTCCTGTCCCTACCCCCCCCCACGCTGTTCCCCCTTCCTCTCCAGTGTGCCCCACCACACTCAAGCGCACACGCAGGCAGCACGGCATCGCGCGGTGGCCATCCCGCAAGATCAACAAGGTCTCTTGGAGCATTCAGAAGCTGCAAGACGTGATTGAGTCCGCGCAGGTGGTGACTGAGTGGACGGCCTTTTGTGAGCACGCCCAGTCCAGCGTTCATCCCTCTCCTCCTGGCCATCTGTCCTCTTCTTCCCCTCCCTCCCTTCCCCTCGCCCCCCTCTAACCATGCAGTGTGCCCCACCACACTGAAAAGGATATGCCGGCAGCATGGAATTGCCAGGTGGCCATCCCGCAAGATCAACAAGGTCTCGAGGAGCATTCAGAAGCTGCAGGACGTGATCGAGTCTGTGCAGGTGCCAGCTGGCGCGCTGCGATTGGACGCCATCACGTCTGAGCTGGCGACGGCCGCGGCGGTGAAGGCGGTCACGGGGGCGCAGATCGGAGGGTCTGCCAACTCGCCAGCATTTTCAAACCCAGCTTTAGCGGCAGCAGCAGCAGCAGCAGCAGCGGCAGCAACAGGGGCCGGGCAAGGGCAACAAGCACATGTTCCAGGAGGTTCCACTATACTCCCAGCTCCCTCCTTTGGCTTTAACTCCACCTCCTTCCAGTCCCTCCCTTGGCCTGGCAATCGCCATCCCTCCATGCTTGACCCTATGGTCGGAGGCTCGGCACACGGACCTGGAGGTTCGGCTCACGGGCCACTGGCCACGGGAGGTTCAGCGCACGGACCACTTGCCATGGCTGGAGGCTCGGCGCATGGGCACTTTGCTGGAGGGTCGGCGCACGGCCCGTTTATGGGCGTGGGAGGTTCGGGGCACGGAGGAATGGCGTTTGCGGGAGGTTCGGGGCATGGGGGGGTGGCGTTTGCGGGAGGTTCGGCACATGGAGGGAATGCATTTGTGGGAGGTTCAGCCCATGGCGGGAATGCATTCGCGGGAGGCTCGGCTCACGGAGGCATGGCGTTTGCAGGAGGTTCGGCACATGGGGGCAATGCGTTTGGGGGAGCAGGCGGGTCGACACATGGCGCGACGCTACTGGCTGCAGCAGCGGGAGCAGGATCAAATCACGGGCCGTTCCCAGGGGGTCCAGTGCAGGGGGGGTATATCCTCGTGGGTAGCTCAGCCCATGGCCCACACATGGCTCATGTTGGGGGGTCTTTGCATGGGGCAGGGGGGTCCATGCATGGCGGAGGGTCAATGCATGGGGGGATCATGGCTGGTGTGCAAGCTGCTGCTGGTATGGGTATGAGTGGTCCTGGCATGGCAGCAGGCATGCAAGCAGGGGGGTCGCATCACGGTGGATATTTCTTTGCAGGGGGCTCGGGTCATGGGGCACATATGATGCTGGGTTCACCCCATGGGGGGGCATATGCAGGCCCGGCAGCTGCTGCTGCTGCTGCAGGCATGGCCGGACCTGGCGGGAGCGGAGGGTCGGGAGGAGGCCTGGGGCCGAACCAAGCCGGCGGGTCGATGCATGGGGGAATGGCGGGAAGCGCAGGGGGGGTGCACGCGGCGAATAGGACGCCGCCACCTGGCAAGCTGCCGATTCCTCGGGATCCGTCTACTTCCAATCTGAGCCTTGCTTTGAGTCTTAAGAATGGAGCCGGGACGCAGAGAGCAAGTGGGGCGGTTGCAGGGGGGGATGACGAGGGCACGACACATGGCACGAGCCTATTGGCCAGTCTGCTTCGGAGGAGTGATGAGGAAATGGGGTTGGTTGGGGGGACGGTGACAGGGGGAAGGGGAGAGGGGGATGCGGCGGAGGGGAGGGGCGGTGGGGGACATGAGGGGGGAGGGGGTGGGGGAGGTGGTGGTGGGGAGGGGGAGAGGGATGGGCAGTTGGGGATGAGCCTGGGTGGGCAAGCAGGCGTGGTAGGGGGTGTGGCCGGTGCTGCTGCAGGGGAGCAGTGGTTACAACAACAGCAGCAGCAACAGCAGCAACAGCAGCAGCAGCAGCAGCAACAGCAGCAACAGCAGCAGCAGCCGGAAGCTGCTACTGCTGGTGCCGGTGGTGCGAGAGGGCAGCAGAGGGAAGAGACTCGGGTGCACGGGGGGCGGTCAGCCTTTGTGGCTCTCCGCAGCTACCAGCCAATTGCAGGGGACCAATCCAACGACCACCACCACAACCAGCACCAGCAGGGGCAGCAGGGGCATGGGCAAGCAGCAGGCGGCAGGGAGGGGCGGTCAAATGGGTTTGAGGAGCGTGAGGGCGCGGCGGGCGGGGTGGGGGGGCGGCTGCGCGGTGGTGCGCCCTGTGCTGCTGATATGGCTGCCCTCGGCCATGCAGGCACGGGGGGAGGCGGGCAGGGTGGATTCGGGGGTAGAGGGGGTGCTGGTGGTGCTGCCACTGGTGGTGCTCATGCCCCCACCACATCGCTACACCTATGGGAGGCAGACCGCGGTGCTGCCTCTGCCTCTGCTGCAGCAGCAAGCACCGGAGGAGGAGGAGGAGGAGCAGGAGGAGCAGCAGCCGGAATGGCAGCAGCAGCAGCAGCAGCAGCAGCAGCAGCAGGAGGAGGAGCAGGAGGGACCCAGTCAGTGGTAACGATCAAAGCTACACTTGGAGGGGATACAATTCGGTTCAGAGTGGCGCTGAACTCTTCAACGTTCCAGCAGGTGCAGGAGGAGGTGGCGAGCAGGCTGAGAGTGCCAGTGGGTGCATTCTCGCTCAAATATTTGGACGAGGACGGCGAGTGGGTGGTGCTGGCGGGCCCTCAGGACATGGACGAGTGTTTGCATATAGTTCGAGCTTCGGGGAGCAATACCATAAAGCTGAACATTAAGGCTGAAGCTCAGGGGCGAGGGTGAAGCAGGCTGAGAGTGCTGGTGGGGCCATTCTCGCTCAAATATTTGGACGAGGATGGCGAGTGGGTGGTGCTGGCCGGCCCTCAGGACATGGACGAGTGCGTGCATATAGTTCGGGCTTCGGGGAGCAATACGATCAAGCTGAACATCATCAGGGCGGAAACGGCTGGGAGAGGGTGAAGTGGGGGGATGTGGAGGTGCATATGAGTCGCCTCAGGACATGGATGAGTGTGTTCACATCGTGGGGGCTTCGGGGAGCAATACGACCAAGCTCAACATCAAGGCGGAAGGCTGGGGACGAGGGTGAATCTGTCCTCAGTACTTGAGAGTGTGTCCCTCACGTACTCGGGTTAGGACGGCCAGTGGAAGGTGCTGGTGGGCCAGCAGGATAGGAAGGAGAGTGCAGGTAACTTCCATGTGCCTGTGACCTGCGCGTCAGTGGGTCCTGTGCCAGCCGGCCGAAAGTAGAGACTGGAGAAAAGTTAGAACCTCACAACACTAGAGTTTCGAGAGAGTGGGGATGTTTGCATTCAGGGCACATGCCCTGCCGGCCTGGCGGCCTCCTGCCGGCCTGCCGGCCTCCCGCACGGCCAGTTTTCCAGGCTGGTTGTTTGGAATCTGGATTGTTCTGTAGTGGTGCCAAGTTTGGGTGATCTCGTGGGTACGGTTTGGAATGGTTGGAGAGAGTTGATGCGCTGCACCGCTGATGTTGTCTTTTATATGGTGCAACATCAAGCTACGCTTCATTTATAGGATGTACTTATCGCTTTTATCATATATGTTATTTACTGTAGTTTTCCCAACTCTGGTTTAGTTAGCCTGGGTGAAATGCAGTACGGGATCTGGAGGCAATGATTTCTTTGTGCTCCCATAAGCTACATTGTAGATTCTAATGCATCGCTGTACACTGATGCACGGGTTACAGGAGGACCAGCTCTCTCTGATAGACTCAAGAACACTGTACACATTCAAACTCCATCTCGTATTATCACATTGTTATGTACCGCTGCTAAGCCAGTCTACGGCCATGTAACACATCCATTTGTAACCACTCGTCAAACTCATCCGGTGCATCATCTCTGCACACACGCAATGGAAGCGGGCACAACACCACAATCAAAGAGAGTGGATGAGGAAGTGCTGTCGGAAGAGAAGACGGGGGATATTTGAGCAGAAGCAAGACGATCAAGGGCCACACAGAGGGTATGCGTGATCATTCAGAGGTATATACCAGCGAATACAGCGGCATAGAGGGGTATACAGGGGTATACGGAATCATACGGAGGGTAAATACAAATTTATACAGGGGCATAGAGGGGTATACAGGGTATAAAGAATCATACAGAGCGTATATACAATTGTATATCTAGAGGGGTATACAGGGGTATTCAGGAGTGAGCAGGGGGCACTCAGAGTGATTGCTCTACCAGGCCTGATTCTGATGCTGTGGGGGCATCCAACTCATACCCCTCAGCTGCCCTCTGCTGCCCTCAGCTGCCCTCAGCTGCCCTCTGCTGCCCTCAGCTGCCCTCAGCTGCCCTCAGCTGCCCTCTGCTGCCCTCTGCACTGCTGGCAGCAAGTCCTGAGGTGCTTCAGAACAACAGTATAGTATACATGCACCAGCGGCCACTCACAGGGATTGCTCTGTGAGGCCTGATTCTGACGCTGTGGGGGCAACCAGCTCATACCCCTCGGCTGCCCTCTGCTGTGACGCTGCACTGCTGGCCGCTCTGGGAGAGGGGTGCGAATGGGTGGAGATGGGTAGGGATGGATGGGAGGCAATTCATTGGGGGTGAGGATGGGTGGGGGTAAAGGGGGGTGAGGATGGGTGGGGGTAAAGGGGGGTGAGGATGGTTGGGAAATGATGGGGGTTGCGGATGGGAGGGGAAGTACAGAGGGATTTGAAAGGGTGGAGAAACGAAGGGGATGGGCGTGCAGGAGTGGAGAGGGATTGCACGGGAGACAGAGGCCTTTCTGGAGTTGATGCGTAGAGACAGAGGAGGACTGATAAAAGTTAAGCTAACTGCGGTTGGTTCATGAACTTGATGAATGCTGCATTGTGCAGCATTCATGATATAAAGTAAGAGGTGGATGGAGGTTTCAAGTAAGGATGGCTGCAAGCGACTCACTCACCCCAGGAATGTGGAAAGGGCGAGAGAAAGGGCTTCAAGCACTGCCACAAGCACATATGGCACCTGCATGGCAAGGAAAAACGGCAAGGGGAAAGCAGAGGGAGGGAGAAGTGGGAAGGGAAGGGAAAAGCTGAGGCACGTGTGCAAGAGAAAGGCTGAGGCGGAAATTGAGGCTTGCCACAGAAGCACAGTTGTATGCAGGGTAGATTTTACGATTAAGTAAGATCCATTCATCAGCCTGTTCAAAGATGCATGAATAGCAAGCTACAAAAAGAAAGTAAGGAAAACAAGCTAAAAAAAAACTCACAGCAGTCATGCGTCTACAAAAAACTCTTCGTTTCATATATATATATATATATGTATATGTGTATGTATACACATATACATATATATCTATACATATTTTAGTGTCTACTATTTTTTTTCTGAAATTTGAGGCGTCCTCACGTAGCTAGCGCTGATTTTTGAAACACCTCACAAGGGGTACTCGCAGCGATGAAGCGGCCGCGAGCAGCAAAGCCAAAGGCCGCCCACGTGCATGCAGCAGCTAGAACCGACTTTTTTGGCACCTCATAGGGCACCTCACAGGGCGCCTCACAGGGCGCCTCACAGGGCACCTCACAGGGCGCCTCACAGGGCACCTCACAGGGCGCCTCACAGGGCACCTCACAGGGCACCTCACAGGGCACCTCACAGGGCGCCTCACAGGGCGCCTCACAGGGCACCTCACAGGGCACCTCACAGGGCACCTCACAGGGCGCCTCACAGGGCGCCTCACAGGGCGCCTCACAGGGCGCCTCACAGGGCGCCTCACTCACAGGGCACCTCACAGGGCGCCTCACAGGGCGCCTCACAGGGCGCCTCACAGGGCGCCTCACAGGGCGCCTCACAGGGCACCTCACAGGGCACCTCACAGGGCACCTCACAAGGGGCACTCACGGCAATAAAGTGGTCTTGAGCAGCGAAGCCAAAGGCCGCCCACGTGCATGCAGCAGCAAGAGCTGAGCAGCTGAGGAAGAGGTGAGATGGCTGTGCCGATGCTGCTGTGTCCAGCAGGATGAGCTGATGCGGGATGAAGGGACGAGGGGATGAGGGGAAGAGGAGAAGAGGAGAAGAGGGAATGAGATCACCAGGCCATGCGCATGCAGCAGCTAGCGCTGCGCAGCTGAGGAAGAGGTGTGACGGCTGGGCGGACGCTGCTGCGTCCAGCAGGCTGAGCTGATGCGGGGATGAGAACATGAGGGGAAGAGAAGAGGGAATACAATGAGGCCACTGAGACACTAGGGATTCAGGGCAACCAAGTGGTACGCAGCCAAAGGCGGCACATGTGCGTGCAGCAGCCAAAGGCGGCTCATGTGCGTGCAGCAGCCAAAGGTGGCTCATGTGCGTGCAGCAGCCAAAGGCGGCTCATGTGCGTGCAGCAGCCAGTGGTGAGAAGCTCAGAAACGTGAGGCGGTGCGATGAGCGATGGGTGATGGCTGGGCGAATGAGGCGGTGTCTAGCAGGCTGAGCTGCAAAGAGGTGGGGGTGAGGGATGGGGGGACGGGGTAAGTGGATGGCTTCATGTGGAAAGGAGTATGAACAGAACAGACAGGTTGCTTTTGTGGTGCCTGATAGCACTGGTTTAGTGTGGTTGAGTGCGGTTGAGAGGTGCTTAAGGGACAGCCTGTACCATGCGGGAAAGGGGCTGAGAGGCGAGCAGGAGAGCCGCAGCAGCTGAGGCAGTCCATCCGATGACGAGTGAGGAAGGTGCGAAGAAGGATCCGAGGAAGAGCACCAGGATGGAAAGGCCAGAGGCTGGTAGCAGCAGTTGCAGCACCTGCCGCTGAGGGGTGTTGGGTGAGGGGTGAGGGGTGTTGGGTGAGGGGTGTTGGGTGAGGGGTGAGGGGTGAGGGCAGGGCATACAGACAGGCCGAGACCAGCGTGAGAGGAGCTGGTTGTGATTGCAAGAGGTGCTGGTGTGGGAAACGGACCAGAATTGAGTTGACTCAGAATCCATGGGTTGTGCTGCTGTCCCGGTCCCTCATGCTGGTGTGGTCTGGATGAGGTACAGGGACAGACCTGGCTTGCAAAGATCCATCTCCCAACAAGCAGAAGTCACTCAATTGGGTATTCCAATCCAACGTACAAGCAGCAGATTGTAGTCAGAGGTTCTTATAAACGATTGGGCTTTTTTCCTCTTTTTTTGTGTGTGAGTGTGTGTTTTTTTTTTTTTTTTTTTTTTACCCCTTGTTCCAAAAAAGGGAGCAACGTACCAGGCGCAGGGTGTGGGTGGAGGAGTCAGAGGAGATGAGGGAGAGGAGGAGGACGGAGAGGGAGAGTGACTGTAGGACGTGCGCGAGCAGGAAGAGAATGCGGCGGGGTGTGACTATAGGGAGGGTGTAGGCCGTCCAGAGGAGGGAGGAGAGGAGGGAGCAGGAGAAGGGAGCTGTAGAGATGCTGCTCCGGGTATAGGGCGAAGAAGCTTCTTGGAAGGCGTTCCTGAAAGGATGAGCGAACGCATGGGTCAGGGGAGGAGGAGATTATGCATGATTGAAACTTGAGGTGTGATTGTGGAGAAGCGCGGATGCTGGTTGATCATGGGGGCTGTTGCCTACGAGGGCTTTTGAGACGTTTCAGAAGCGCGGATGCTGGCTGATCATGGGGCCTGTACCCTACAAGGGATTGTTAGACAGAAACTAACAGGGCTGTGAAGCATGGATGAGGTATGGGGAAAGCAGTGGTAACGCATGGGGGGATGTAATGGCGGAATGCACGGGTTAGGAGTGGAAGAGGTATGGGAAGGGCATAGGAGATGAGACCCATGGCATGGGAAACGAACCAGTAAGCTGCCAGAAGGAGACACGTGGTGAGCAGGCCTGCACGAAAAAACAATATTAAACACAACAAATAGAACGTTAGCAATATTCAGAAGTCCCACTGGAAATGAGACGCGACTGGCTGCACTCGTAGTATTATTAACGCTCAGTATAGTTGAATTCGCGAAAATTAAAGTATCGCTACCGGAGAGCACGAGCCACACAGGAAGCTGCAGCAGATGCGTTGCTGAGAAACAAGATTCAGCGTATGAGATATAGAACGAGTCTGGTTTCTAGGCGCCAAAACAGTTGTCGTGTGAGAAACAAGATTCAGCGTATGAGCCTCCTTGATACTGCCGAAGCGCGTGATAGGCAGACAGCGATGCAAACGAAACGTCCGTTTTTCACGCACAAACGAAGGTAATTTTGAGAATTCTCAAACATCTCATGAGAGCGTAACGGCGTGGACCCACTATAACGGTGTATTCGGACTGACCGAGTGTTCCTAAAAACGTCTCCATGGTTGCGCGTGTGTCGCCACTCGTTGGATGCGAGCGCGTTATTTGCGCAATCGAATGGACCTCCTACGAGGATTGAGGGGCGCGACCGAGGGAGGGGTAATGGGCGAGGGACGGATCATGGGAGCGAGGCGGGGACAATCCTAAGGGACTGAGGTGAGGGGGATTTGAGCCCTGGAATTTCCGTTTTGTATAAGATTATAGAATTTGGAAAACAGAATCTTACAAGAAGAATAGTCGGACATTGCATTCAGAATAACGCATGAGGAATAGCGTGTGCGTACACAATCGAGTTATTGTATAAAGGATGTTTGATGAACTGTCTTTTGTCCGCCGTATCACGCTGCGATCATTATGGGAGGAAGCAGAACCAGCCAAGCTGGCGCTGCCCAATCAAAACTCCAATCGCGTCTCGCGGGAGGATGTGCATCCACAACAAGAAGCTGAAAGTGCTCAGCGCGAATCACTCCGCCAAAGTCTCCCCCAGCCACCCCGCTCGCCCAGCCTCCTGCCGCGGCCCCACTGATTGCCTGCCTGCCTCTCTATTTTTACTACTACGCTCGCAAAATAGCTCCCAGCCCATTTTTACGCGATTATTCCAAGCCACACCAGAGAAGCTCATAGCTCGAGTAGTAGCGCTCGCGGCGGTCGCGCTGGGAATGTATTGTAATCAGCTGCGATGCCACTGCCGTAATTTCCACAATTATTCCGTCGCTCGTGCGGCAGGTATGAACCCACGTTACTACTGCGGCCGATCCGGCCTCCCGTCACTCCCACACCATCGGTGGCAGCGGACAATAGTATTTAACAGAAGGAGCATCGACTCTCAGCACATCATTTGAGCAACATATCCAGTAACCTACTATTTGCTCTTAACTCAACTAGTGAATTTGTCCTTTGAAGATACCTTTCATCTCCGAGTTGTCCAAGAAACCGCCGGTATCGATTTATTCCGCCGCCATGGCTCTCCGTCACGTTCTTCTTCTCACCTTCCTCGCGGCCTTCGCGCTGAGCCTCTCGGCTGCCTCCGCTCTTCCCAGCCACCCTAGTACGACTAATCGGCGCGCTTTAGGCAACAAGGGCTCCAAGCCCGCGCCGGCGGGCTACGTGAAAGCCGAGTCGCCGAAGCGTCAAGTCACGGCGGAGATGCAAGCCAAGGCAAAGAAGATCGCGAAGGAAGCGTTCGACAAGGCGAAGAAGGAAGCGAAGGACCCGGAGAATCAGAAGAAAGCGGCCATGGCAGCGGCGGAGCAGATCGGAATGATGGCTCTGAACGCCCTGGTGCCCGGAAGCGCGCACGTGATTGACGCTGCGGAAAAGGCGAAGTTCTTTAAGGAGCAGATCTGGCCCATCATCAAAGCGGAGCTCCAGAAGCTCGAGGACGAGGCGGCGGCGGAGCGCCAGAAGCACTATCAGGCGATCAAGACGCCGCCCCAGACTCCCAAGGGCAAGAAAGGCGGCAAGTGACTCGCTTGGGAGACGACGCGAGGTTTTGGGAATGCAGATTGAGCGCAGGAAACAAAGGGAAACCTGTCTGGGGGATGGGAACAGGGCATGGAGGGCACGGGAGCATGATACGGCGGACTTGGGATGAGGCGTGGTAGTTGGGGATGTGGAGAATATGGGGGGAACTGGGAAGAGGGTCTAGTGGGATTTGGTGGATAGGGGGGTAATTTGATAGGGGCAAGGGATGATGGTCTGGGAGAGGGAAGGGTGTTCTCTATATATTCGCTGAGGGAGGAAGAGTGAAGAGGATTCAGGCATGTTGACGATAGAATGGGGTGCTGGTCTTGAACACTGTTTGGTTCTTTGCCCCAGAGTTCAAGTCTTGAGTGTAACTGGATGGGAGGGGTGGAAGCAGGGAACAGAAGGCCAGACGGAGGGGCTGGCAAGGAAGGGGGGCTGGCAAGGAAGGGGTGTGGTAGGGTATAAATTAGGCAGGTTGTGTGTGGGATGGGAACGAAGGGCATTCGTTTTGAACCAGCTGTAATCCACTGAAAAAAATATATTGAGAAAGCTTGCTTTCTGTTCTTGCAAAGGCAACGGGCTTCATTACAATTGGGTAAGAAAAAATATATTGAGAAAGCTTGCTTTCCAACCCTCGTCATATACTCGGCGAATTGTAATTCGCCGTTGCTTTGCTTCGTTACAGGTAGCTGCGCTTTCACAATACGCATTTTTAGAAAGTGTTACACACTTTCGAAAAATTTCATACTTAAATGTCATTGCATGTATGTATCACGTCAAGATAACATGATCAATCATTGGCAGGTTGTGGGAAACAACAGTTTCAGTTGTAGGAGAACGTTGGAGATTAGGGAAGCCTTTAAGGTTGTGTTGAAACCTATGTGTTTGTATTGCGTACATCCTTCAATCGAAACATAGGGAGGGGGAAGCTCTGAATATTGTTCAAGCAGATTTTACATAAGGCCATTTCGCGCTGGATTCTCGTACGTGCTTCCAAGCACTATTTCCTCCTCCTATCCTTGTCTCTTCAGGCTCGTGTTTCTGGTCGTTTCGCCATGGACTCGTTACAAGCACGGCAGACATGGGAGCTGGAGAATCGAATCGAGCCGTTGGCGTCCGCTGACGTGGACACGATCTACCGCTACGACGAGCGAATCCACGCGGACGTGCTGTCGCAGAAGCCGTGGACCAAAGACCCGCACTACTTCAAGAACGTCCGAATCTCCGCGCTTGCTTTGCTGAAAATGGTCGTGCACGCGCGATCAGGCGACACCATAGAGGTGCGTGTTGTTGGGCTGAGAAGCCCTAGGATCTTTGTAGAGTTTAAGGACTGAGTAGGATTGTAATAGCGGAAGCGTTGTAATACAGAGTGGTTGAACCACCTTGCACTAGTATGTGAGAGCAAAGTAAGTTAGATTAAACAAGCAAATACAAGGTTTATATAAGAGTACAAGGAATACGAATAGATAGATTTAAACCGTTTTACTGTTGCGATTCGATACAGTGCGACTCGGGCAACTGCTCAATGTCGAGTCAGTTGTGTGTCCTTGCTGTCGCGCTGTAATTGTCGAGTCAAAGGTCGCTGACCTTTGACTTTCCCGTAACCTCTAGGCGGTTACCCTAACCTCCGAGGGTTGACTCGCGATGCTTCGATTTGGGCTGCTTCGCTAGTGTCCTGAGTTTCGACACGACAGAGGCGCCTTAAGACTTATTGTTCCCAACACTCCCCTTCGCTTCTGGAGTGTCGCTGATGGTGACGTGGCCTTGTCCAGTCAGCAGCATGCAGTACTCGAACTTCTGTTTTCCGAGTTTCTTTGTCAAATAATCGGCTGCCATCTCGGACGTGGGACAGTAGGATAATTCGAGTTTCCCTTTCTCGATTTCGTCCTTTACGAAGAAGTATCGCAGAGCGATATGCTTCGTTCTGTTCGCGAATCCGCTTTTGTTGGCGATGCGAATTGCAGATTGGTTGTCGCAGAACAGGGTGAAGTTGGGTAACTCGGCTAACTTTGCTTCTTCCAGCAGCTCGCGAAGGTAGAGTCCTTCCTTGGTGGCTGAGCAGAGGGCGATATATTCTGCTTCAGCTGAAGAGAGAGTGATTAGTTCCTGCTTACTCGACTGCCAGGAGATAGGCCCGATAGGCTCGAGACGATAGACGTAGCCGGTACGAGAACGCCTGTTATCAGAATCGCCGGCATGGTCAGCATCGACGTAGCCGATTAGTTTCGTCGTCGTAGCTTCGCCCTTGTAGTAAGTTAGGCCGATCGTCGGTGTGCTCACGAAGTAGTGCAGTGCGCGATCGAGCTCCGCCATGTGCTCAGCTTCGGGTTTCTTGAGATAGGTGGCGAGTTGACTCGCGGAGTAGGATAGATCCGGGCGACAGGTTACGGCTGCGAAGAGGAGGCAGCCTAGTTTCCTCTGGTAGTCTCGTATTCCGGCAGCCTTAAGTGGAGCGGGATTTCCTTTGCCGCTTCCTGTCGTGTGGCGGTATGGCGTGGCGATGGCGGTAGGCGTGAGAGAGAAGCGTTTGGCGATAGTGTCGGCGTATTTCTCGGCGTTGAGGTAGATAGCATTTTCTTCTTCGCGGATGTTGAGCCCGAGATACTGGGTGACGGTGGAGGAGACGGTGAGCGTGAGGTCCTTCTGCAGCTCCCCTTCGAACCAGGTGATGACGTCGTCGGTAGAGCCGATGTAAAGCAAGTCGTCGACATAGACGATCAGTAAGATGTAGTCAGCGCCTTTGGTGAGGCGATACATTCCTTGGTCGTGAGGCAGTTGTCGGAATCCGATGCGGGTGAGGCGGGTGTGTAGGTGCTTTTGCCACAGTCGCGGGGCTTGTTTGATTCCGTAGAGCGATTTCAGTAGTTGACAGACTTGGTTGGGGTTTCCGTGAGTGCCGTGTGGGAGTTCGACGAAGATGTCTGCGTCGACGGGTGCGTAGAGGAATGCGTTGGCGACATCGATCTGTCGCAGCTTCTTCTTCTTCATGGCGGCGACGGCGAGAAGAATGCGGAGAGAGGTATGTCGGCTAACTGGGGCGAAGGTCTCGGTGAAGTCTCGTCCTTGTTCCTGGTCGAATCCACGCACGACCCAGCGTGCTTTGAACTTCTCGATTGTGCCGTCAGCTTTCGTATTGATGCGGAAGACCCATTTCCCGGTGAAAATGGTCTTGTTCCGTGCCACGCTTGCGGGAACGACCTTCCAGGTGTTGCGTTCCTCCAATGCCTTTAATTCCCTGTCCATGGCTTCACGCCATTTTTCCCTGTGTTCCCCCCCCAGAGCCTGCTGAACTGTCGCAGGCTCTTTAGGAAGAGTGTTGCCGGCGGTCCCGTGGACTGCGGTGACGAGGCCAAGGATTTGTAGCCCAGTCTGTGAGTATCGAGGGAGTTCTGGATCCTCGGGATAAGCTGCTTCGTCTCCCGCTTCTGGGTCGGGGATGAAATTTGGCCCTATCCTTTCTGCTTCGTTGGTGTTGACTGTCGCAGGTGTTACGTAACCGTTGTCGGCGAAGTGGTAGAAGACTTCGGCGTTGTTACTGTCGCGAGGATTATCTTCATCCATGGGCACATCGACGGAGCAGTACGGGAGAGGTCCGGCTTCCTCCGATGCGTTGTCGACGTTCTGTTCATCCCAGTCTGCTTCGTCCGCTGCTGAGGCGAAGGCTCGGTCACCACGAAAGCCACCTGTGGGGTCCCTATTCTCGTGCAAGTTGGCGAGGTACGTCTGAAGGGTGAGTCGTTCGTAGAAGATCACATCACGTGCTGCTACTGTTTCTTTTGTGTGGACGTCGAAGATTCTCCACGCGTTGTAATTTTTCTCGATGCCGAGGTGTAGTCCCCACTGTGCCCGTTGCGAAAATCTTCCCGCTCGTGCTTCTGGGGGTCGGTACTGTACCATGCACCCAAATACTCGTAACATTTTTGTGCTGCCCTGCTTTCCTGTCCACAACAGATGCGGTGATGCGTTGTTCGGGAGTGACGACGACGAAAGCAAGTTGTGCAGCATGACAGCATGGTCCATTGCTGCTGGCCACTGGTGGTTGGGTAGCCGCATGCCACGTAGTAGTTTGCGCATGCTGTTCTGCAGGGTCCTGTTCATTCTTTCTGCAACACCCTGCTGCTGATGTGCGTAGGGAAGGGAGAGGAGTTGCTTGATCCCCCTTTCCGCCAGGTACTGCTTGAAGCGCTGAGAGGTGTATTCGCCACCTCCGTCTGACTGGAAGCTTTTCAGCTGCGTTCCTGATTCCCTTTCTGCTACCGGTAGCCAAGCGGCGAATGCTGCGAGTGCCATGTCGCGGCTGGGTAGGTTGCGATGCCAGACGTATCGAGTGGCGGCGTCAATGAAGGTAATCGTGTAATTATAGGTTACTTGGCCTGGTTCTCGATTGTAGAGGATGTCGCTGTAGACTTTTTCGAGTGGTGCGTATGCAGGTGCGCTCGGGTTGTGGTGAGAAGAAAAAGGTCGATGTGGTAAGTCGGCCTCGGGGCAGATGAGGCAAGTCCCCCGTGCACGTTGAAGTTCTCTGCCGTCGAGTAGTAGTAGCGAGTCTTTGTCTAGCACTCCTGCTCGTATCGTATTATTTAACACCGTGTTACTTGGATGTCCTGTGCGTGCGTGCCAGATGTCTTCGGAGGCGCGGTGTCCGGGTGAACGTTGATATGCGTCGGAGTTGGAGTAGAAGCTGACGACGAAGTTGGCGCTGCGGTGGACTTCTCGTTGAGTCGGGTTCAACTGTTGTGCGGGTGTTGGTGGTGCTTCGTCGACGATGACTGGTGTCGTTGTTCCTGCTGCTGCCGATGTTGTTGCTGCTGCCGATGTTGTCTCTGCTGCTGCCGATGTTGTCTCTGCTGCTGCCGATGATGTCTCTGCTGCTGCCGATGTTGTCTCTGCTGCTGCCGATGTTGTCTCTGCTGCTGTCGATTGTTGAATTGTTGCTAATGCTCGTGTTCGCTCTGCTTAAGGGATGGTGTGTGAGTACCAGAAGCCTCCTAGACTGAAATCAGGATCGAGGTCCAGAGGGTGTGTCCAGTCGGTAAAGTTGACGATGGCGTCGCTGTCTGCAGTGCCCAGGTCGGGGACGAAGTCAAGAACGAATACGTTATTCTTCAACACTGCTTTCCCGATGTAGAGGCCGCCCCTCCCGTGGTATAACTTAAATTCCTGGGTGGTGCTGTCGGCTTCCAAGTGAATCCCCTTCGCCATCAGCTGGCTAACACTCAGTAAGTTGTAACCGAGTCCTTCTGCGATGAGTACCTTTGACATTTGTAGTATAACGTTGGTCTCTCTTGATTGAAGCTGAACGACTCCTTGTCGTCTTGTGCGCAGGTTCTGGTTGTTGGCGACCGTGATGACTACTTCTCGCTGGAGTCGATGTTCGCGTTGTACGAAGCGCCCGGAGGAGCACATGTGTTGTCCGCAGCAACTATCCAAGAACCAAGTGTCTTGGCCGGACGGTTCGCTTTGAG